TTGTGTTCATTGTACTCAAATTATTTTCATAATAGATAGATATAAGACATTACACCAATATATAGGAAGATAGAGAATTTGAAGCACTTAAAGAATATATGATTGCTTTTTTAAAAAGGTAATTCTATAGTGATGAAAAACTTTAAAAACTTATTTTCTTGACAGTGACAAAATCATGTCGGTCGGAATTTGGCCATTAGGGCGTCTTCATTGTACTCAATTTATTTCGGTGATATATAAGTGCAAACTAAGACATAAATATACCGGATGATAGAAAATTGCACGGGCTTTCAGAATATATCATTATTTTTTTAAAAAATATCTTATTATAGAAAAGATTTCCTTAAAATACTGAGTGCAGTTTCTTTTTTTCGGGAATATATATATTGGCAAACATATCAAAGATGTGCATTGCGTGTGTGGAGACGGCCGTCCCTAGGGGCAATTATGACTCGTTTTTAGATGGGCACATCGCTCGAAAAAAACTAGAGTGCGATCATTGGGTGGCTGCTCGGCTTTTTCTTCTTTTATTATTTGTCCACTGGACGGCCACGCCTCAATCATATCAGCTGTTAAACTCCATTGCTAGGAATATTTGGAAAAAAAGTAATATCAAATGCTGAAAAGTTAAGAGAACTGATTGAACTGTTGACAAATACATTCTTATTGAGATACTGTTTGTTTTATTACCCAATTTCATACTCATTTGTTAAGTTCATAAATGAAATCTAGATCAATATTGATTGAGAATTATGCAAATAACAAATTGATCTAACTGAAAACAGCGAATTCCCTTTGTGACAAACATAATATTTAAATTTACTTTAAACTCAAATTTTCGCAAATTTGACTAGAAAATAAGTTACGATATGAACGAGTACCCTATTAATCTATTATCTAATGATTCTTTTGCTTAGGCTCTGGAACGCTGTGTGGAACATTATTAATGGTTCAAGCTTTTATGGCTAATGTTATTTATCCGAATAAACATGAAGAAGAACAATATAGATATACGAATGATGATCATTTTCTTGTTACTGAAATATATGTTGATGCAAGTGTTGAAACATTTGAATCGGAAATCTTTCGTAATGATATACCATGTCGATTTAAAATTGTTCTGTATGTTTTTTTTTCTTTTTTTTTTTAGTATTCATTATTTTATTTGATATTTAAAAAGAAAAAGTTTATTTTAGTGAAACAGTTCAATATTTAATTGATAATATCGAGCGAACACTTCAACAATCAATTGAAATTGAAGAAAAATTATCTATTGATTTAATAGAAAATTTATCTGATATAAAAGAAGATATTCTACAACGATTACAACATTTAAAAAATCTTCCTAATCTTCTTGAAAATTCAAATATATATCATTTAGATGTTGATGATATGTCTCCAAATATAATTTTAACAAATCGTTTGCAACCATCAGCTATTGTTGATTCAACAATATGTGCACAATGTGATTTAAATCGTCCAAATGCACGTTGTCAGCGTAAAATCGATTGGATATGGCGTGGAACTTGTGTTCCGGTTACACGTAGTGAAGTACAACGAATTCAATTACAACTTGGAAATGAACGATTTTCATTTAATGGACAAACGATTGAAAAAAAATTATTTACAGATATATCAAAGAAAGGTTGATATTGATTTTAATCTTAATAAATAATCTTAATTGTTTATTCTTTTTAGCTAATAATAATACTGTATCATTTCATGAATTACCAGAAGATATTCAATTATCAATTGAATGTAAACGTTTAGCTGATTATTGTCTTTAAGCATATAAAAAAGTAAATCATACACGAGAAGAAACTCGTGAAACAACTGTACGTCAATGTGAAAATTCATTTTATGTTGATACTGTTCGAGCATTTTGTCGTCGACCTTATGAATATAAAGGTTTACATAAACAATGGAAAAAATTTAGGTAATGCAATAAAAAAAGATGATCTTAATGAAGTAAAAAGATGTAAGAATTTAATTGTTATTTATGTATGTTATTAAATTTCATTTCTTATTTTCTTAAAAGTTTTTTTTCCCATCGTTTAGGATTCATTACAACTTGCACATAAATGTATTCTTAATCCATTTTATAGTTATGTCATGCGAAGAGATTATTATAAATCTTTATCAAATATTAAATAAAACTTTTTTCTTTAGGTGAGCGATGGCATCGAATGGAAATGGGAGGTATTGTTTGTACAACAGGTTCAAGAATCATTAAACATACTCGAGAACTTGTTGAACAAATTGGACGACCATTGGAACTTGATATAGTAAGATAACGATTATTGTTATTTAATAAAAAACCTAAGTTTAGCAGAGTATATAGTGTATATTACCAGCAACATTTCCAGAAAATTATGAATTAATAACACGTGATCCATCACGTCCAAAAGTTGTTATATCTTATCCATGTAGTTTATTAAATTTAATTATTAAAGATTATTATACAAATGATCAATATCATGTATTAGTTGATAAAGAAGAACATCAATATGAAATTCGTTCAGAAAATTCGATTGTTTTTTTGTTTTTGAAACTGATGGTCCATATTTAGCTATGATATTACCAGCATCAAAAGAAGAAGGAAAACATACAAAAAAAAAAAACCTTATTGTGTTTTTAATACGGATGATTCAATAGCAGAATTAAAAGATTTTGAAGTAAAACATAATGGAGAATTACAATTAATAAAAATTTTTCAAGTAAGTGTTTTTGAAGTATTTCTTAAAGGAAGAACACTTGAAGAATATTATAATCATGTTGCAACTATTGCTGATTATTAGCTTGATATGTTATATTCACATGCCAAAGATATATTAAATAAAGAATGATATGAATTAATTTCGAAAGAAGAACTATGTCAAGAATGTTATCTAATTATGAAAAAATAAAAGATCAACATAAATGAAGTGATTTTTTTTTTTATAGGCTATACCCCTCTGCTAGATTTTTGTTCTTTCAATTATTTTTTTATTGGGACTGATGTGACGATGCAAGGTCACGAAATCATTCCTTGGTCATTCTTAGTGTTAACAAAAAAACAATATTTTAGGAAAGAGTCAATTTCCACAGAAAATACCAAAAAAATAAAATGGTTACTATTTCGAGATTTTAATTATCGAAAATTGATTTTTATGGAAAACAGCCAGGATATTCGAGATCAATGTGCAAAAATACACCAAAAAGTTTATTTTCCATCGTAAAATATTTCCATCAAAATAAATTTCTCCGACTCCTCCTCAACTTTGTATTTGTTATGTTTTGACCTTTACTTCCTTATAGATAAAATTCTCATGGTAAATATTTCATGATGAAAAACATTTTTTTGGTGTATTCTTGCATGTTAACTCTGTATATGATATTTATTTTCCATAAAAGTCAACTTTTAACAATCAAAATCTTGAAAAATTAATTGTTTTTTGAGATCTTTGCCTCATGGACTCTATCTATTCGAAAATTTGAACGTCGGTTATCAAGATTGTCATTTTTTTCGGCTTTCCTTTTATTAGTTGGTAGACTGTGTAGAAGTACATTGATGGTAAAAATTTCACTTTTTAATTCAGAGTCGTTGTAAAGTTATACGTTAAACAATCTTTGTAATGTGTTGCAAAATAAGTGTTAAAAAGAGCATCTTTTATAATAGTCAATATTCGTTAATAAAGTAATTGAATAAGATGATTTTAATTTTATTTTATAGAAAATCTTTAGTTATATATATATATATAGTAAAAATTTGGTAATTATTCATGCAACCATAGATGAGATATAGGCTTTGATATAACAGTAAGGTCAATATTTGTTGAAAATAATCTTTCTTCTAAAGTATTGATTTTTTTGCTTATACTAAAAATGTTCAAGAAATGATTTCATGATCTTGTATCCTCACATCAGTCCCAATAAAAAACAAATAAGTAAAAGAAAAGAAAGCTAGTAGAGGGATATAGGTAGCAGTTCCTTGATATTTATAATAAAATTAAATGGAAATCAACACTCCTAGTTTTAATTACGATTAAGTCATTTTTTTTTCTAGATAAAGAATGAGTATGAAGCAAATAATGGACGATCTTTTAAAAAAGAATAAAGATGAAATAATGAATGAATTTGATCGCCTTTGTCTGTTCATTTATTGTTATTTGGTTGAGCATTTTCCATCAATTCCATCATAACAAGTAAGAAAAATACTTTCTAAAAATCTAATATTTTATCCTTTTTATTGAAGGTCATTTACAATATCATTGAAAATACTCGTAAAAGTACAAATGAATATATTATTGATTACGATATACACGGTCGAGAAGTTAAGATTGAAATCAAAAATGAAGAAGAAAAGTTTCTGTAACTGTACCAGGAGTAAATAGCATATGGTTAAATTAATTGAAATAAAATTGTTTTCTTTTTTATGAATTTCAGTATTTATCTACGTCATTCTTTTTGGATGATCACGTGATAATACAAAATAATGCATTAAAGTAGGATATTATTCTAAAACACAGGGTAGAGCAAAAGTAACAGAATAAATAATTTTTTCGATTTTTTTTTCTTTATACATCGATAGGTATATCGCATATTTATACCAAAATATACTAGATAATACTAGGGAGAGATATAGCATATGATCAGCTTCTGGAATTACTAGTAATTTATTTCAAAGTATATAAATCTGTCTGAATTTTTCTGATATGACTATATGATAAATTCTATGTTTTTCGTAGTATGTTTACTTTTCGTATTCATATATGCTTATCCCAATCTGAGAAACAATTCGATTCAATTAAACTTTTTTATCCTATCAGTTTAAATAAACTCCAAATTTTATCGATTTGAATTGTTTTCCAGATTGGAATAAGCATAAAAGAATACGAAAAGCAAACATACTACGAAAAACATCGAATTTATCATATAGTCATATAAGAAGAATTCAGACAGATTTATATGTTTTGAAACAAATTACTAATTCCAGAAGCTGATCATATGCTACATCTCTCCCTAGTATCATCTAGTATATTTGGTATAAATATGAGATATAACTATCGATGTATAAAGCAAAAAATCGAAAAAATTATTTGTCCTATTACTTTTGGGCCACCCTATAGATTCCTATTTTTAATATATTTATGAATATTTATCTTTTATAGATTTGACAAACTTGATCGTTTAGCAGAAACACTTGATCAATTTTTTGCTGATTTACATAAAATGTGGTGAAATTATTTTATATTTGAAATGAAATTTATCATACTAATCTGATGCTTTCATTGACTAACTGATAAAAAAAAATCGAAAGCTTCGTTTTTTATCTCTCTATTTCTGTGTCAGATTAAATTTTCTATACTTATGTGAAAGATTTAAGATATTATATAAGATAAGAGCAATATTATAAGAAAAAGGAAAATCAAAAAAGAATATATTAACGTTTTAGATGTTAATTAAAAACACAATATGAAAACCAATGCACCAGTAAATTGAAAAAAGGCATTCAAGAATAGCTGAAATTTGAAGTTTTTAAGGTTGATCTTTAATAATAATTAGAAGAAAAAAATTGGACTATACCAACTAATTTAGTATATGCATATAGAACATGACATATTTTAGCGTAATCAAAGTATTCTACTATAGTCCGACCGACTAGATTGCTTGACTTATGTGTGCCATCTATTAGCGACACTCTGAATGAAAATTTCGATGGAAATATTCATTGGTCGATTTTATATGATGAATGATATATTACGATTATTTTAATATAATATCATTCACATATATATATATACTAAATAGACTGACTGATTTGTATAATGATGAAATTTTTCAGATCATAAATTTTGGATGTTGAATGGCCGGTAATATTCAATTAGATTCTTCGGAAACAGCTGATACTACTGAATTATCAACAACCATTGAAGAAACATCGAAATGGGAACCATATTGGGATGAACATTATAAACGTTATTACTGGTCAGATGGAAATGAATCAGTAAGTTGTTTTATTATTATTATTTTGTATTATTATTGATTTGTTCTTTTTTAGGTTTGGGAAACTCCAAAAGGTTGTGTTGAACCACCACCACCACCTACGTCTGAATCATCTTCGAATACTACGCAACAACAGCAATATACAACTAGTGACTATGCTTTATCTATGGCATATGTTAATACTCAAAATGATCTTCGTTATCAACCATATATAATTCCACCTGTTATACCAAGTACAATAAATACTGGCAAAAGACTTGTTGGACAAGATTCACGTGATCTTCGTCAATTATATCATTATTTTGATTATAATGCATGGAATGAAGAATTAAATCGAACCAATAGTAATCAAAAGAAAAAAGTTAAATTAACTAAAAAAGAACTCGATGTCATTAAAGCACGTCGAGCAGAAATAAAAAGAAAACACCGTGATAAGTGGTTACTTGAAGATTAACATGTTTTCTCTTGTCTTTCTTTTTATATTGTTTTGTTCACCTATGTCATCATTTTGATTTATTTTCATTTTTGTTAATAACAATAGAAAACAAAAGATTCTCTTTTTTTTGCTTTTTGAATTCATTCAAATTTTTTATTACAATTAAATATTCAGATAAAGGTCTTTGTAAGAAATGAAATATCTTTCAGTCTATTCAACAATATTATAACTCATTGGTTTCAAATTCAGCTTGAAATTTTGACTTATTTTAATGTTTTTTCGATCTTTTGTATGCAACAAAAGATATTTACCATGTGTTATGGTTATAGTCATATTAGAGGTCACGACTGAATACAATTCATCCTATTTTAAAAGGCAATAGCTATTAATAAATAGAAGTAATGATTCATTTTATATATCTGTGATTCTAATGTCTGATCTTGCTTTTTTTTTGTAGCTACTACTTGGACCTATTTCTAATATTTTTTCTTGCTTGAATATTTTACTTATGCATATTATCTATTGTTTGCCTATAGCGATTTAATTAATTGTTTGTATTCGCATAGTTAAAAAAGAAATGAATATTGATTAAGAAACCGAATGTTCACTAGCGATGGTATTGAGCATGATGATTATCAGATGAGATGGTCAGAAAAAGAAGATTACTTATTCATAGATGCTGGAACAGCTTATTAATGATAGTTGTTGGTCAAAGGAATCTATACATTATATTACGTATGCAAAGGATTAAGGAGAAGTTGACAAAAAAAAAGCAAAAGATGAAAGTAACATTGAATAATTTGTATTAAACATAAATATCGGAAACTGCGCTTTCGGATTTTCTGATTAAAGTGTTTGATAGACATTGAATATATTAGTTTTCTATATTATAACATGTTGCACACATACTTTGCTTCAGACTCTTTACAAATTCAGCTCTATAATCTGTTAGTAATATTATACTATTATATAGTCTATAATGTCTTCTAGCAAACATTCAAGTGGCGTGACTAAATAATAAAACATTGTGTTAGGAGACATGATTAAAAAAACTTGTCAGTGTAGCCTCTTCTGGGGCCATAGTGTGAAAGTCACGAACTCTGGCTGTTATAAATTTTTAATATATTGTCAGAGCGTTTAAAATAATG